ACTTAACCAAGCATCTGTGTCTGTGTGATCATTTGATTTAATCGGTATTGAATCAGTACCTTTTCTGTTGAAGTGTAGTTTGAATTTGGCTGTGACTGAATTGTAATTCAGTTCTGGTTTAGCTAATAACAGTTTAATCCTTTTCCTGACCCTGAATCAGTTAGTTTAGGAAAAAACAGCATTTAAAAGTGAGAAGCATCATGTTATGGGGGCAGGCCAATGATGAGGAACTTCACAGCTGATTTTCTTTTTTCATGCTTAGAGCTGAGGCACAATGTGCAGTGTCACAAGCAAATTCTTTATAATCCCCACAGTCTGAGGCTGAAGAGCTGAAACAAAACTGGTGTGCTCCACCGGTGGCAGTTTTGTGCCTGGAGTAAGAAATGGAAGCCAAAGGGCAGAAACTATACTGTGCTGTTACTTTCCTGGTTTAAGCTGTGCCTACATATGTACAGTCTGGAAATAAAAGCCTGTCTCTTCAGTGAGTTAAGATGAGGGCTTTATTTGCTGGAGAGAAACTTACACTCAAGAGATCCTTGCAAGTACTTTGAGGATGATGTTTGCTGTAGAGAGGGACAGTTCCGCAGATCTCTCTGCACTGGGAAAACAAGGATTAAGGCATGGTCAGCAGTTCACAGTAAGAGTAGTTTACTTATGACTGCCTTTAGGAATGTATGGAAAGTCTCTGTTGAGAACTGCAAATTACAATTAAGAAACAAAGACAGTACATGCTGTTCTAAGCCATATGGTGATGGAAAGATGAAAAAAGATATGGTATGATGCTGTTTTTGCTGATCACTCTGAATGCAAACAGTTCCCATGCTGAACAAGCTCTGTTCTACTTTAATGAAAAGAGTAGAATTCAGAGTTTATTTTGGGTTTAGATTTGATCGCTTTGGTTAAGTCGTGGGTTTTGGTTTAGCTGACACTGATGCTGCAATGTTTCTTCCAGGATAGCTGTATTGGCTCAGCTATTTTAGGATATGTTAATCATATGCCAGCCAAAGGAGTTCTTCTGCCACCTTCTGAGCATAATTAGCTAAACTGAAAAAAAACCCCCACCCTCTAGTCTTCTGTCAGCATAGTTGTACCTGTATTGGGATTTTTGTCATAATTGCTTAAGAAGGGGGAAAAGCAGACACTACATTTTTCACACATTTAGATGACGTACCTTACCTGGCAATTCTTTGTGTTGTCAAATCAATCTAAATCTTGGCCTAAGTGGAGTGGGAGGCAGATTTGCTTGAATTGAAACAAGTCAAGTAGCAGTAATGCTCTCAGACACATTGTATTGGTTTAATTCAGCCTAGACATGGCAGAATATAGTTCGTTCTAGATGCTGCCTACAAGTATAAAAGGGGAAGAATGGAAAGGAAGAAAAAAATCACATTTCTTAGTGTCTAAGAAAACTCAAAGCATGAGAGGGTTTTTGTTTGTTTATTTAAACCAGCTTAACTATATTTTGCCAAAATTTTATAACTTAGGTCACCAGAAAAATTTCTCTGAAATCCAAGACCACATTTCTGCTAGGCAGCACTGCTGAAATAGCTGTGCCTACATAACTCTAGTGGCAGACACTTTTCCTAGGATTGTTGAAATTCTGTGTGTTGTTAGCCTGGTGCAGCTATTCTAGATGAATGAAACTCAGGATGGGCAAATGCTCCTACGTTTCTCTTCCCTCCTTCATTTATATCTTCTTCCATCTATCTCTTCATATGTTTTTCATGTTTATATATAATTTTCTTAATTGTTATCTTGGCACATGTTACCAAGCTTTTGGTCAATCAGAAGTCACCATATGGCACCAAGTTTTCCATAGAATTGTGTAGAAAAACCACTGCTTTTTTTCTGTGCAGTTATATGTTTGGGGGAAAAAAATTTAAAACTTCAGGAGCTGAAAAAAAACGGTAATGTTCTCGGCTGATTAGGTAACAATTACATCTTTCATGTGTCTGGACTCATCTGAAAAAAAATGTGATGCTAATTATAGTAAATAAGATCGGTATCTTCAGAAATTAATGTAGACCAGTACAACTTTTCTTGCACAGGAGAAGTTCTTCCACTACATCTTTTCCATTTTTCATTATATTTTCTTCCATACATGTAAATAGCATATGTTCTTGAAATGCAATTTAGTCTAGAAATACCTTTTCAGATCACTTCTTGAGCTTGCATTGTGAGCAAGTTTTAGTGTCATCATGGGGTTTTTTGAGCATATTGTTTCAAAATGTTTTACTATGTTTATAATTGTGTGGCTTCTTGACATTATTCCAATCTTTCTACTAAATAGTACAGTATTTTCAATAAACTCAAGCATATATGCAAGCATTCCAAGATCAACATCAAAATTACATCATGTATATCACTCCTATTTTTGCATCAGTATTGTTGGACATTTTTCACAACAGAAAAAAGTAATTTTTTCAGTCAGTTCATGCTCAACTATTGTTTCTCATATTTTTTTCTATTTAGAAAAAAGTGCATAGGTTGTTATCTTGTCTCCATTTGTGCAAATCATTATTGCAGCCTATTTTTATTTCTCCTTGTTGACTGTTACCCCTCCACATTTGCACAAAATATAGAAATCATACAGAAATCCAATCTAGTTCTTTATTGTGCCATAGACCCTCTAAGATTTGTGCCATGTGACAAATTACCTTACTTTTGAATACCATTCGGTGTAACTTTTCAATCTGACAGGGCATTATTCTGTGAATACAGTTTTAAGCTAAACTGTGTTTTACTAGCTTACTTGTAAGACTGTCTAATGAGAAAGTGTCAGTGACCATATTGTGTGCAAGACTCCTTAAATGTCTTAAAATAATTCCCTGAGAGGAATGTTGTAGCTCAACAAAATTGTCTCATTCAATAAATCGTTAAAAGTCAGATTGGGAGGAGTTTGTGGAAGAAAGGTGTTTGTCCACTGCCTATGTGAAGTAGTCAAGTGCTGTGGTTTTCAGTATTTTTCTATTTGGGGAACTTTCAGTATTTTTTGGTGGAGCTTTTTACAGTTAATTTAAAATATATTGACAATAGACATGCTCTGATAAGTTGATCCAGTTACTGGTTGTTCTGGTACCTCTGATGTTCACTGGAGACTTCAGGTGAAGTGTTTCAGTGAGGTTTTGGTGACTTGGCAACGTGAAACAGCTCAGCCTATCAACCAGTGAGGCCTGGAAGGCAAGAATACAGATCCAGGAGGGAAAAGATACAGGATCATGGCAATCAGCAGTTTGTTTGCCTCTGGCTTCTGTCAAATAGCTGCCAAAACCTATTGTTTGACAGTAAAAACTTTTAAGGTGGTATTAATAGCAAAAGCAGCATTTCTCCTTCTCCCTACATGTTCCCATCTAGTATAACTGCTTCACTGAATACATTACAAGCATTTGTGTGGCTGTGCAGTGAATGGGGTCACAGAAAAAAAATTACTCTGAAAAAAGGTATTTTTTAGACAGGTTTTATTCCTTAATTATTTAGCGTGCAGCCACAAAGCATTTATGCTAGCACATGTGAGTAGAGGGTTGAAAATGTGGGAATGACTTTGGGGAGCCTTCAGTTGTTTCTCTGTAATATTGATGAATTCTGATCCCTGTGATTTTATCTGTCGTTTTGTTGCATGCATTAAAAGCTGAAGGAAAAATTAAACATGTTAAACCAACTCTGTTGAACTTTCACTTGTATCTTGTCAAGATCATTTCGCTGGTCTATGATTGTATATTACAGCTGACTGCATACTTGTTTCTTTTGAGTAATGTCAGTAAGTTCTTTGTAATTGAGCTGAGCATTCCATATTCATTAGGAATAATTTTGTTCTGAGAAATTGAAGTTTCAGATACTCTTATTTTTACCTAGGATATTTTGGATGAACTTATGATTTTTTTTTTTAGTGTATTAACTCTTTTAAGACTATAAGTAATTTCTTCTGAATATTGTAATTAACAGAAAACAGTGACCAATTAAAAAAAGACGAATTAAAAATTTTTGAAGAATTCAAATAGATTAGCATGATTGGAAGAGTGAAGCAGAAATGAAGATCATCATAACAAATATTAATTTGATAGAATATCTCCGTTTCCTTCTAATTTTTTAAAAAATTTTGCTCATGTTTCATAAGATGCAGTTCAGAGCCACCAGGGCTACTTAAGTTGCTGGTGTGATCAGTTTACACTAAGGTGGCAATCCATTACTTAAGAGCAACCGAGACACAGGCACATGCTCCCTTCTGCCAGCTTTGGTACTTGTGATAGTAGCGTCAGGCATAGATGCAAGCTGTGACTTACTAAACTGCTCTTGTAGTTTGCTTGGTTGAACGTGAGAGCCCTGACTGTGAGAGACATAAATTTGTGTCACTTCCTGTTTGTTGCTCAATCTTGCTGTCAAAGGTTACTACTTCACTGGGATTCTTGTCTTAATTTTAGCTTTTTACAATCCAATTTAGCAGGTACTACAAATGACTAAGTTTTTGAGGTAGCATATTTATTTTCAGACTATAGGACAATTTAATTTTTTCTGTTGCCGTATTTCAGTTAGTTAGTTTGAATATGACAAATAAATGATGAGGACTGACTTTCCTCTTACAATGTTTTAACTTCTGTTGCTCACATTCCTAACTTACATGAGTGAAGCTGTCAGGAACTGTTAATGTTGTTTCTCTGCTTTTAAAGTGTATGACATAAATTAACATAGCACTCTGCTAAGCTACAGAAATAATTGTTGTTATACTTTAAAAGATACTAAAATTTGAGATGAGATGAATAGCCAGAATGCTGTTGGAAAAGAAAAAAAAATTTATTGTGATTCTAAATTACTACATTGAGAATTCACTTAACATTCGCATTGCTTAGCAAGTCTGGGCTTCCAGTTTTGTCAGTGGCTGGGTGAAAGACAATTGAGAATTTTTATTCTGTTCAGTGAAGGAGTGTGAATGACAAACCATAACCTTGTTTGAATGTTTTTCATTGATATGCACTCTTCAACCATATTGTTTGTATCTGTTATAGATCCTGGCTCTGCTGAACGTACAGCACAAAAAAGGAAATTTCCCAGCCCTCCACATTCCTCTAATGGCCACTCACCACAAGATGCATCAACAAGTCCTATAAAAAAGAAAAAGAAACCTGGTCTATTGAACAGTAATAATAAAGAGCAGGTAAGAGAAGTCGTGGTCTTGTTATGCTAGAATATGAAACAAGGATGTAGAAACAGCTGATGAGGAGCTCTCTCCTGTTTAGGAAGCTCCATTTTTGTACTCTAAGAAGTGGTTATGTGTTTTTGAATGCAGCGGGTGTAGGATTGGCATTACAAGTTATATTTGGATATCCTTTTATTTTTGTTCTACATCCATATGAGAAAGACCACCTGTGTCCTGGTTTTTGAATTCATAAAGCTAGTAAGATGTATAACCAATAAATGCAATTTTGAACAAAAGGATTATGAAAGAATATAACAACAACAACAACAATAATAGCTGTTAAAAATTAAAACCATTAAAAGGAAATGTTCAGTGCTGTGATATCCTAGATTAAGAGAGATCTCATAATGTCAGTGGAAGTCCCTCATGCTTTCAGTCCTGATGCCAATTATTAACAAAAGTTCAGCTCCTCCTTTGGTACTCTGCAGATTCCCTCCCCTTCATTTAAATTGCAGGGCAGTACACACTCCTACCAAACTAGTTAAATCGAAGGGTCACACTGACAGTACTTTTCAGTCTTCATGCTTGAAACCTTATTTTCAGTGTCTTCTGAATACTGGATTTATAGCATTTGTTGTAGTTCTTAGAAGAACTTGATTCCAAAAAACGTTGAAAATTTCTGGTTCATTGTATGATACAAGTGAAAGAATTATATGAAGTGTATTGAATAGCAAATGCTGTAAAGCACCTGCATCATCTTGGAGGAGATTACATGAAAGCAGTCTTTAGCCTTACTGAAATTATTTCTCATCTAATTTAATAAATGACATGCCTGTGTATTTTTCAAAGTGTTTTTGTGTGTCAGTGTTTTTTGCCAGGATCGTATAAACACAGGATTGAGTTCTGAGGTTTTAAAGAACGTTTGTCTGGTGTAACAGCATCCACATTAAATCCTGGTGCAATTGCACTGGTTAAGGAAGAGAAATAAATTCCTAATCACTGCAGTTGTCCTGAAACAAAGACTGTGAATAAATCAGGCCTTGCTAGAGAACAGTCTTACCATAAGTGTCAAGCGTATTTTATTTAAGCATAATTGGGAGGTCTAATAATAGCATGTGTAGGCATACTTGCACTAGTTTTATGTGGTCAGTTTGGCTTTTATTGAGCTTCACTGCAGGCTGTATAAATTCCTCTACATCCTGGATGTTTACTGGGAAGATGTTGCCCCACTAAAGTCTGAGCTCCAACCCTAACCCTGAGCTTTAATGTAACTGTGCAGAGATTACAAACAGTGGAAATGAATCTTAGAGTATTAATTTCCACTTTTTATTCATGCATTTAAAAATATATGTGAAAACACAGATGCAGTTGTTGAACTTGATACGTTCCCCTTGGTAAATCCTTTTCTGTTTTCCAGGTATCTCAGACCTGAAATATTACAGGATAGAATAAAGTTGTGTGTCTAATGAAGAAAAGCAATCACACTTGCTTATTTCACTTTATTTGTTACAAGTTAGCAAGAAAATACCATCTGTGTAGTTTTGTTTAGCTTTTACGAGTTGTTTTTAATTTAATATTGTCTTGCATGTCAAATTTGAAACGGGCATGCCTGAAGATTACTGCTTCTAAAGTAGGTGCAAAACTCTGCACTATGTGGTAGCAGGAGTTGTTAAAGATTCTTTTACTGCTCAACAGATGTGAGCTAAGCATACAGTTGTTTGTTTTGCTCTCAGGTTAAGTTTCAAGTATAATGTAGCCAATAGCTGTGGTTCTGATTGGCTGATAAATCCATTTTGAGGTATGACAACATCACTGGGAACCTCTAACTTAATATTCTACATTATGAAGTGTTTCATAATATTTGAGTATTTCAAGATACCGTTACTAAAGTTATAGTTGCATGAAGCTTTGTATTATATGTTGTGGACGCAGTAGCAGATCTTCAGAATGGTGCCAACAGGTATTTAAACTGTTGAAATACAAGCAAAGAATTATGGAATCATAGAATGTAGCTAAGACAGGTTGAAAATCTGGAACTTCTGACAGTTAATTGGTCAGTTATAATGTAATTGAAGTTGTCAGCTTGTTTTATTACTAGCTTCAGTATTAATTTAAACTGAATATAAATAGTGATCTTTTTCTCTGCAAAGCAGCACTACAATACTGTTGTTTTTTCTTCAGTTTTCTGTGTCATTCTACAGGTCTTAATAACTTTATTAAAGACTTTAAAACAAACTATCACCTATTTGAGCTTGAATTGACTAGTTGTGAAACAGTTGAGAAAATAAACCTTTTCTTTCATAACTCTTAAAATTTAAACTCTTAAAGCATTTTACTCTGATTAGAACAAGTGAAAAGGTCCTTTGATGCAGTGGAATCATTAATTTTTAGTTCTTTAGTTTTGTTGTTCAGGTCTTTTCTGAGTCTCAGTACCTTTTTTTGTGGTTCTTAAATAAGGTGATAGAGGTCTAAAAGATAAAAGCATCCTTGAAGAGAAAATGAATTCCTCTCACACTCTAGCAAAAATGGACTTCTTTTCAGTTTGGATATTATGAGCAGATTTCTGTACAATAGTTTCACAGATTTTATATTTGTCTTAAAGCAGTATCTTTGATTCTTACGAGGTTAGTGTAGATATACTGCTTCTACCCACTTCAAAGTCAGAATATGTATTAAATTCTTCTGGTAATTTCCTTTATCTGCAGTTGAGGAAATGCCCCATAAGCTGCATCTCCACGTATATATGGTATTGAGATTCTGGTCTCACCACTGTGGTGCATGTAGCTGCAAACAAAACATGTTTCTGTGCTGTAAATTGCAACTTTCCCTTCTTCACTCTGGGTTTCCATACGCCTGTTTGGAATGATTGTAGTAGTAATACCTTTGAAATGTAGTTAAAGCCTTATACCGTCCCTCTTATTCCACAGGGTCTCATAGAACCTTCCTTCTGAAAGTCTTGTCATGTTATATGATTAAATACATATACAGAGAAAGTACAGATATAATGCTTTGCCCATTTCTGTGGTGGGAACACAGTATCTTTTTAGTAGCTGTATCATCTGTAGAACAGAAAATTAAAAACACCAAAATGGTAGAAATTTAAGTGAAACTTTATGTAGCAGAATGCTTTGGGAAATTTTTGTGGGTAACATGCTTTCTTTGCTTAAAATATTATACAGTGTTAGATAATTGCAAATGATATCTCTTCTAGTATATCTTTTGAGATATAACATCTTCAGCTGGATTCTTGCTTCTGCATCATCTAATTTGACCTTGAAGGTCCTCCATTCATGCAAATAATTAGACCTTGTCCTTCGTAACTTTAGAAATCTAGAAATATCATGGTTCAAGCTGGCACGCTGGTGGTTTCTGATATGCCGTGTGACTAATTTTGTACAGGATGCTGCAAAGGTATGGAACATGCATATGGTTGCAAAGTTCTATGAGTCACATAGGCAAGTAACAGCTGAAGGGTCTAAGAACTTGCAGATGTGTAATTGGTGTAGGATGCATGCAAAATTACCTGAAAACCAAACAAAATGGTTCTGCAAACTACAAGCATTTGGATAGTTCCAAGTAATGTCATGAGCAAATGGTTTTATATCAAACAAAAAAATCACGGTTAATAAACTGCGTAAAACTCAAGATTGTTTCCTCTCCATGCCCTCCTCAGCAAACCACCCATATAATAAATACCAAACAGAAAACCTATGTTCCCGTGTCATTAATAAATGGAATGTAGTTTTCCAATAAATATTAGCAGCTCTTCAAAGCTGATCTAACAAACTTTAGGTATCTGGGGATCTGTTTTAGTCATCCCAGGCTCTTAGCTTCTTGTGTTTTGGCATCAGCTCTTTCATCTCTGGGCTATCTGGGGCTCAAGTGGAACACTAGTTCATGCAGTTTACAAAGTTAACACTGTTTTTTAGTGCAGGCAAGCCCGTGGAGATTCTGAGTCTTAAATTCTGATATTCATTTAAATAGTGAATTAAACCTCTCCGAGTGTTCCTGCTCCTGTAGCAGAAGTGGCTGGTCAGGATGTGAATTTGCTGCTTTGTGATCCTACTCTGCAGTTTACTTTATTAATCAAAATCAGCAGTGGCTTGCTTTATTATACATAGTTGTGAACTACTACAACTTGTGACAGATTTGCATGGTGTTCAACTTCTTGTTTCAGGACTAACTTCTTCAGTTGTCCCAGGTTTAGCCACCACTAACTATCTTGGTATTTAGTTTGCGCAGTCCCGTGGAGTTCTGAGTTTAGAGGACCTAATAACTTCTATAGGAGCACTTCTTTCTTGAAGATAAAACTGTTAGCACTGACTTCTGTTGGATTGCATGCCTTGCACTCGATGCCCTCACTTGCCGGAAAAATTTATTTTCAATCTTGAGTGCAAACTGGCATTTGACATCTGCATAAGAAGTAAACTTCTTTATGGATGATTTTGTGCAATGAATAAGATACTGTGCTTGCATAAATGTTAATCAAACTCTGTAAACTGCTGTTTGCTTATATATTATTAATATTATATTTTGAAAAAATGCAAATTTGTTTTGAAACCAAACCTGTTTTTCTTGCCTACATTTCAGTCAGAACTAAGACATGGTCCGTTTTACTATATGAAGCAGCCACTCACCACAGACCCTGTTGATGTTGTACCACAGGATGGACGGAATGATTTCTATTGCTGGGTTTGTCATCGGGAAGGCCAAGTCCTCTGCTGTGAACTCTGTCCTCGGGTTTATCATGCTAAGTGTCTGAAACTGACAGCGGAACCAGAGGGGGATTGGTTTTGCCCAGAATGTGAGGTTAGTTTGATATAAGGAGTGGTTTTCTTTCTTGTTTCTGAGATATAAACAGCTTTTTTGCATTCTGAAATGTTTCTGCTTTATTCCTATTTGTCTCTTGGTAAAGGTACCAGGAAAATATGTACAGAAGAGGAAGCATCCATTGTTGATTCACCACTTTTTTTCTGTGTCTGTACTTGGATTGTGTTTGCCTTCTTACCATGAGTCTTCAACTTGCTTTGTATTTCCATCTCTAGAGGAGGCACCATTTCAAAGAGTGATCTTTTTGTCAGGCACATCTAATTCTGAAAACATTCTGCAGTTTTGACTAGTTTAGCTTGTGCTTCTTCTAGTGGGCTCATCAGCTCTGCAGCAGTGCAGAAAAAAATTGCACTGTAGGGTCTACGTAAACAAGTGGGTATTTTATTACTATTTTTTTCTGCAGGGCTGAGGAGGAATTTAATCATTCTTCCCCAGTAATTCCTGGGGAGAGAATACTTGTCATCAAAGTATCTTTAATGAAAGCAAATGTCTTTATCACAGGTTTTTCTTTGATCACTTACTGTATTAGAGCTCAGGTGGACTTCTCACTCATTCACATGCTGTGAACCTGCATTGTATTTAGGAATGTTATATATTCACATGTTCACTTTGTATGATCTTGAAGATGATGGATAATTTTCTGATCTTTTCCCTTTTAAAAAGTTTTTTGATTAACATACTCGGAACAAGAAACAAGTAAAACAAGCATCTGAAGTACTTACACTGCATCATCAGAAATGTTTTGTTTCTTATAAGATAGTTATTATCTTCCATTTGAATGCTAGAATGTTTCAGTGGAGAATTTACCTAGAAATGTTTGCTGACAAAATATTTTTTGATCTTAACTTCTAGAAAATCACAGTCGCAGAATGCATAGAAACACAGAGTAAAGCTATGACAATGCTCACCATTGAACAGCTGTCATATTTACTGAAGTTTGCACTACAGAAAATGAAACAGCCAGGGGTAAGGAAGATTTTTTAAATTTTTTTTTTTTTAAATGCTTGGATCATGTGTTTGTTATAATCCTGGGTTTTACTTCCTTTTGTGGATTATGAAACTAGTTTATTTTATCAGATTCTGTGTGACAGCTTCTGTGCGACAGTCTGCCACCTGTCTAGTACAGACAGATTAGTTTAGGTGTATAGACTGTTTTGGAGTGCATTTAAAATGTAGTTTCTTGATGTAACTTCTGGATGTAGTTTCAGTAGGTGCAGTGAAAATATAATGTGTCTTTCCAGTGGGACGTGTTGGTTTCTCACTCTCTGAAAGTGGACAATGCTGTCTCTGAGATACAAGGGGAATGAGGAGAAATGATCTCTTACCAATATAGTTATATGGACGAGAACCCTAGGTACAGGCACTGTTACGCTATTGATTATACCTGTTGGAAACCTAGCTTCTATCTGTTAGTAGAAATTGTTCTTACCACAGAAGTCAATTGTATCATGTACTTCTAAAATGCTGAAGAAATTTTCCTCAGTATGGTGAAAACCTGTGCCATTAATTTTCATGCAATATGAGGCTGCTGTTCTATGAATTTTTATCATGGAGGTAAAATTGTTTTTTCTCCAACTTGTACCTATCTCCATGTGTCTGTCTTAGACTGAAAATCACCATGTCTCAAAGTTTCAGCTATTCCAGTCACTTACTCTTGCTTCTAAGTTTCAATTCTGGTCACTTGTTCTTCAGCATGCAAGCTTTGCCTAGTTTTCACATGTGTGAAGATATCAGTCAATCAAAATACGATGTGATGAATTACCAAGGGTTGTATTAACTCCTGTTGCCGCCTTGTTCATGTACGGAAGTTAGAGGAACAGGGAGGGTACCTCTGTGCCTGCAGTGTTATAGTATGTTGGGAAAACCAGGTGTGCAGAAACATGGGCGCTCTGCAACTCTGATCCCTCTATGATAAGTATTTTAGCAGAACAATAGTGGCAATTGCTGGGAGGGTCATTCTTAAGTACTGACAGATTTTGGTTCTTGGAATCCTTTTATTCTGGAGTGGTAAATACTATCCTACTAGGTGGAGCCATTAAAAGCATTAAGTGCTACTTTTCAGTAGCAAAGTGTCAACGTTTGTTTATTGAATTCACAAATTGTTTTGAAAATGTGGTTAGAAAGCTAATGTTTAATGAATGCTATTGAGACATTTTGCCCTTTAGGCATTTTACTAATAACCTGGTTGTTTGATACCTGAGTACTTTAACTGGTTGTATCCAAAAATTGCCGTCCCTCCACATTAGCAGATGCAGTGTAGAATCCCAGTAATAAAAGTTTGAATGTGTTTGCATTACCAAGCTGCCATTGTTTTGAAAGTTATGATTCTAATGAGTCTGAAAAAGAAGTATTTTATGAGTCTAGTGAATCAGAAAATTAGTAAATGCCTTTATTCTACTAAAAACTATCTGTTGAGCCTCATCTTATAGTCCCCACCAAAAAAACCTACTGTAAATAATAACAGTACATTTTACAAAAGAACTGACTTTTGCAATTCATTACTTCCAGCATAAGAAAAATCTGTTAAATGAGACCTTGTAGTTCCTCGTGTTCAGCCAATATGTTACTACTTCACAAAATTTTATAATTACCTGTAAAGAATTTCCTCTGACATCACAGTTGGAAGTAGTATTAGGAAATGAATGAGTATTGTGTCATTGATGAAACTGTTTGGTATTAATAAGTAGTATATTTTTTTTTTCCCCTAACAGACAGAGCCATTTCAAAAGCCAGTTTCTTTAGATCAACACCCAGATTATGCAGAATATATCTTTCATCCAATGGACCTTTGTACATTAGAGAAGGTTTGTATGAAGCTAAGGGGGAAGACTCCTTGAGTTTGATTGCTATCAGTAAGGTTTCTGGAGTGTTTAATGGGAACAGGAGAGAGGTTGCTTGAAATTATTTTGATACTTTTTTTTTTGTTATTATAAATGCCAGTTCAGTTACAGCTTAAAAACAATTATATGCACCTGCAGAAGTCCACTATTTTGTCTGAATCAGTAACAAACGGTCACGAAAAACAGTATGAAAAAGACAAGCTTACAGTAGTTGACTTCCTCCTGTATAAATTCATCTAATTCCAGGAATGATCCTGTGGGGAGACTTCATTAAGCAGAGTTTGCATTTGATCATCATGTTTGTAAGCTATTAATGGATCACTGGTCCATTAATTTGGACTATTTGATGTGTATCCAGGGGTTATTCCAGACTCATTTTACTGATCATTCAACAAATACTGTAATCTCCACTGCACCTGAGGTGTAGAAGAAAAAAGAAACAGTCAAGAGGTGGATAATGGGACTCTCATTCTCAGTTCAATAATAATTTAAAAGTTTAAAATAAAAGTTTCAAACTTCAAGAAGTTCTTCATTCTCCACTGCTTGATGAAGAGTGAAGCATTGCAGAGATTTGTTCTGTTGGGACCTGGTGAAGAGACAGCAAGTTTTTATTCTTCATATCCTTACAGTGGAAGTTGATGCTTTTATGGTAGAAAGGTGTAACAAAACCATGTGACTGATTTTATCTAATTGAATTACTTTGCCCAGTGGATAGGCTGGAATATCAAAACATACTGTCTAATATACTATGACCAATAATTTTTTCTGGGTCTTGTAAAAATTAAGAAATAGAAATGCTATGGAGTGATAATATGTTAGTAGAAGAAATCAGGGACTCAGTTTTCTGCAGAGACATTGGAACACTATTTCAGGAAATTAACCCTTTTTTTTGTTTGGAAATCCTGATCTAAATAATTCATTATTTAGAGTTAGTTTAGGCAGTTCATACATTTTCAGGGCAGTCTTACAGATACATTCTTAATTTTTTCTTTACAGAATGTTAAAAAGAAAATGTACGGTTGCACTGAAGCATTTTTGGCTGATGCCAAATGGATTTTGCACAACTGCATTATTTACAATGGGGGTAAGTATTAATATGTACTTATGTCCTCAAAGATGAAACTTTGAAGTACTTGAAGTCATAGAGACTTTGTAGACTTCTAGTTGGCAAATGCTGAAAGTATCTTCCTGTTAATGACCATAGTGCCTAAACACAACAGTTTCTTTTTGTAACAACTGGCATATATAAAAGTGTAGGACCAAATACAGCCTGTGACATCACTTGCTCCTTCCACCTTAAAAAAATTTCAAATTTTTTTGAATTGTAGAATGGTTTGAGTTGGAAGGGACATTAAAGATCATCTGGTTCCAACCCCCAAGTTGCTTTAGCATTTTTCATTGTGCAGCGCTTTATAGGAGACCTAATTGGGAAGATCATACAGCATGTCCCTCACTGAAAGAGCGCATCGGTGGGCAGGCTGCAGTAGGCTTCAAAAGGAACATTTGAAGATTGTTACTATGTTATGTTGAAAATGTGATAAATAAATAATATCGTAGTTTTGCTTAAGTCATAAATAGACAGGCAGTTGGAAAGAATGTAAGTTCCCAGGTACCCGAGTATGGGGACAGAGACAGGGCATTATGTATTCAGATATAGGGTTAAGATAAGTATGGGGACAGAGACACCACTTATCTTAGCCATGATTAGCCTTTTCCTGGATGACACATTCCCGCCCTTACCTGGAAGAGAGGATTAACTGCCCACTTGGGTTTGCAATGTTGCTGAAACAATAGAGCACAAGCACCGGAATAAGAAGGTTAACTGAGAGGAAGACTTTGACCCTTCACACCACGGCCCCCAAAGAAGACCCCTAGACAACAGTGCGCAGATGCAAGTGGGAGGGAATAGATGTAAATAACTTCGGGGAAATAATTTAAATATGTATAAGACTTCTGGGAAATGACATGAATATGAATGACTGTCCTAAATAAATCTGTGGAAGTTATACTAACCAGTGTGCATGCAGGAGGATCACGGGGGTGATCTCCCATGCACCCAGTGCTGAAATAAACTTTTGCTTCACAGACTTTGTCCTCTCTTAAAAACTACATAGGTGAATGTTTCTCACAAAAAGAATAGTACTTACCTTCTGCTTCTGCAAGCATGTAGTTTATACATACGTGTTTTACGTTGTCTCTTTAGATGTTCTCTTTTGTCTTTAATGTTAACTTTTAAATCTAAAAACTCTAAAAACTCTTAATTCTAGCATGAGATGCTTTAACCAAGAAAATTTTTATTGTTTCCTCAGGAAATCACAAATTGACACAAACAGCAAAAGTCATCATCAAAATCTGTGAGCATGAGGTATGAGTGCCCCAATTAACTTAATTGTTCTGCATTTTTAAAGTGTTCCATTTCATGTATTCATCAGTGAAACAATATGTTTTCTAGTGTGTATATTGCATAACTGTAATTTTTGTAGGCTTTCTTGGTTTTAGATATGTGTATCCGTGGCCTACAGAATGATTTTTGGCCAGGGCATTGCTAATTTTTCTTCTGTTAGGATATTCGCTATCTATAATAAAGACTCATGGGGAGGGAAGGGAAGAGAAGAAGGTGGACATACAGATTCTGCACAAAGACACCTATCTTCTAAATGAATATTCGGAGTTGGAAAAAGGACCCACATCTTTCTGCATTTTCTGGTGGTTCTTTTGCTGTAACAATATGAAATTCCTCTGAATAAATGCAAAAATGACTGTATGCATTCTTAACTGATCATTTGCACTGATTTTATTTCAGTGGCAATCCATAATGTTTAGTATTACAGAAACTTGCTATTCTAAATGTAATATATTTGAGCAATATTTCATTGATATAAATTATCTGATGATCTGACCCTTTATATTTATGGAAGTGGGTTGACACAGCAATATCCATGATTCACGTAAATTCTGAGAATCTATCAATTCTTAATAGAACAAAATACATTCTGAGAATCTATCAATTCTTAATAGAACAAAATACATGTATAACCTGAGCCTTATATGTTAACTAGTTTATATAATATGAGCATAAGGAGTAAAATACTTTATTTTTGGTTCTGCATAAATTATGAAATTAAATGCTCAATTGAGTTTATATTTTTGCCACTGGAAGAAATTATAATAAATAATTCTCTGTCACTAGAATAAATAAAACATCAAACAAAGGATGTATTTTTTTGACTGGAGTAAACAACAGTAGTATACAATCTGAAGAGGAGTGTAAAAATGTGACTGATTTATTAACTGGAATGCATACATTACAGGGGTAGAAAAAGATGGGTGTCTGTCAAAACAGTGTTGATTTCACAGCAAGTAAATCATAGAATCATTTGGGTTGGAAAGGACCTTTAAGATCATTGAGTCCAACCGTAAGCCTAACACTGCCAAATCCACCACTAAGCCATGTCTGAGTAAGCCCCACATCTACATATCTTTTAAATCCCTCCAGGGATGGGGACTCAACCACTTCCCTGGGCAGCCTATTCCAATGCTGGATAACCCTTTTGGTGAAGAAATTTTTCCTAATATCCAATCTAAACCTGTCCTGGCACAACTTGAGGCTGTTTTCTCTTGTCTTATCACTTGTTACTTGGGAGAAGAGACCAATCCCCACCTTGCTACCAGCTCCTTTCAGGTAGTTGTAGAGAGTGATCAGGTCTCCCCTCAGCCTCATTTTCTCCAGGCTAAACAACCCCAGTTCCCTCAGCCACTCCTCATCAGACTTGTGGTCCAGACGCTTCACCAGCTTTGTTGCCCTTCTTTGAACATGTTCCAGCACCTCAAGGTCTTTCTTGTAGTGAGGGGCCCAAAACTGAACACAGGATTCGAGGTGCAGCCTCACCAGTGCCAAGTACAGGAGGACAATCACTTCCCTATTTCTGCTGGCCACACTATTTCTGATACAAGCCAGAATGCTATTGGCCTTCTTGGCTACTTGGGAAATGTTGATTTATGACCACAAATTTGTGGAAAAATGATGTGAGCAAACTGGACAGGCTAACATAGTAATACTGATCACACTTTGGACTCCATTTAACTCTCTGATAACTGTTTTCTTTTTCTTTTCAGATGAATGAAATTGAAGTGTGTCCGGAATGTTATTTAGCTGCTTGCCAAAAACGAGAAAATTGGTTTTGTGAGCCTTGTGTAAGTTAAGGATTATGGTAGTATAGCTAATACATTAAACTAGCAGTTCTCATTTGACTCTTGCTTGTTATCCCCCCATTGTTTTAAACCTCTAGTGGTTACTGAGTCAAGGAAAGCTGCTGTAATTTACCAAGTAGCTTGTGCTTGTGCATCATGCTTTTTGTGAAGTCAGACCATCTCAAGATGTTTAGCTGTAAAATTACATGTTTTCACAAAATGATTGGTCAGTCAGAAATAACTGTAAAGGGTGTCAACAACCAGTTTGCAAGTTCTCTGTCCTCAAATATAAGATATCTGCTCCTGGGTCATCAGTGCTTGCGTGTGGTACTTGTGCTCAGGGTAAGATTTCTGAAATGTTAATATCTCTTTCTGTAGATGTGATCTGAGAATTTAGACTTGATTTTTCTTTCATGACCTATTAATAGGTTGTCTGTTTTCTGTTTTTGTTTAATACTGCACCAGACTTGGGAAGATTGCTTAAGATTCTTAAGTAGAAGTGTATAATCCATCAAGTTCGCTCCTGGATTTAAGTGAAAATTAGAGAATTTGAAAGATTTGCCCTAACCTAACTTACATTGTGCTACATATTTGGAGGGGACTAATTAAAATTAAACATGTAAAAAAGTGCAATTACGATGTGTTTAATTGAGATACCTTAGGTTTTACTTTTTTTTTTTTTAATATTTTGTCCTCAGGATTTATTATGTATATATCAAGTATATAGTAAAATGGAATCTTGTGTTTGGCAAGTGCTTTGTGCATGTTGAATCCTTTTTGAATCTAAGTAATACATACAATTAAAAAAATAATCATGTCTTTTATCAGATTTGAAGGTAATACTTCTTGTATTTTCTTACTGTATATTTTGCCTCTTCCTCTAGAGCAATCCCCACCCTTTGGTCTGGGCTAAACTCAAAGGCTTTCCATTCTGGCCTGCTAAAGCACTGAGGGATAAAGATGGGCAAGTTGATGCCCGTTTCTTTGGACAACATGACAGGTGGGAATTTAACCAAAGGATGCCTTTGGCTGTACTTACAAAATTCCTGTAATTTTGTGCTCTTGGAGATTTTGGGTTCTGTCTTTTGAACCTTGACCCTAGTAAACTATGTAATAGTGTAGCATATGCAGTTTTAGTTTCTTACATGATGTCTGTAGAATGTAAGTCATGTGTTTGTAAGATTAGTACGTATATAATCTCAGTGAGTACGCAAGTTAATTCCTGTGTCTGGTTTTGTGCTGTAGTTCTGTAGAACTGTAGTTCTTAAAGGTGGAAGATGACAATAAAGTTGTTTAAGTTGTCTAAACACTATAGGAATAAACACATAATTGTGGATTTAAAAAATACAGAAAAAATTATCTATGTTGAAAATGCCAGTTTTGCTCTGAAGGGAGTTAAGTTTTCTGTACTTGTGAACCATCTGCTTAGACGGAGAAAGCCATGATGAATACGAGTTGATTTGTCATGAACTGAAAAAAACTCCCAAAAACCTGTGTAGGACCATGAAATAATTAAGTCAAAGTTCCTGGTATTTTAAAATCTTGGAAAGCGTAGTTTTAGAGTCTGCCTCATTTCATGATAAATAAAATCAGTCCAATACTTGTTGATAGAACTTTTCCTGGCATTGAGGAGTTTGATCAACCTGACATGGGGTGTAAAATGTTTTTAAGAATGTGCTTGTGAAGTTTCTTTTTTTCCTGACCTGCTTTTTATATTTTTCTGCTAATTATGGCAGATGGAAAGACTGTTTAGCAATGGTCATCGTACAGTTACATAGACTATTCTAATTAGGAATATTTTGTCGTATCTGACCAGCATTTATTCATGTTTTATGTGTTACTGTGTAGAGTAAAATAAACTAGTGATAATCTAAGACACGCAATTTACTTACTTACCAAAACTCAGCACTGAACTATTAAAAGAAGAAGGTAGAGATGCTCCTTTGAAATGACACGAGGTGTGCATGTCTTTATGATTAGGCTACAATAAATTAGCATGTGCACAAAAGTTGCCAATGTCAATCCATAGTGTGAAATGCAGTTATATTATCTTTTATTTTTCTGTTTTATATATAGGGCCTGGGTTCCAATAAATAATTGCTACCTCATGTCTAAAGAAATTCCTTTTTCTGTGAAAAAGACTAAAAGCATCTTCAATAGTGCAATGCAAGAAATGGAGGTTTATGTTGATAACATTCGTAGAAAATTTGGAGTATTTAATTATGCACCTTTCCGGACACCATATACTCCCAACAATCAATACCAAATGTTATTAGACCCTGCAAACCCAACTGCTGGAACTGCAAAGACAGACAAACAAGAGAAAATCAAACTGAACTTTGATATGACAGCATCGCCCAAGATTCTAATGAGCAAGTCTATGCTGAGCAGTAGTACTGGTCGTAGGATTTCATTGACAGATATGCCACGGTCACCAATGAGTACAAACTCATCAGTTCACACTGGATCTGATGTTGAACAGGATGCGGAGAAAAAAGCAACTTCCAGTCATTTTAGTGCCAGTGAAGAATCCATGGACTTTATTGAGAAAAATACAGGTAAAAAAAAAAGGTGGTGGGTACAGGACTTTGTGTTTGGTTAATGCACTAGTTTAATTCCATGTACTTTTTAAAGACAGACTATATTATGACTCATTTTATGAAGAAATTTTAGCAAAACAGGTGGGTTTAACTTTCAGTATCACAAATAAGAAATAGCAGTCATTTCTGTCACATTGAGAAGGAATAAATAATCTTGAAAAGTGACCAAAACCCTTCAGTTTAAATAGCAGGAAATAGTTGTAACTATCACAATGAATGGAGAGCGGAAGTAAATACAAAAAGAGTTAGAATTGTCATGATTGTTTAAAATTTGATAGCTCTTTTTGAAGGCAGTGAGCTTTAATTTATAGTGTTCCCAACTGAATAGCTAAAATATGATAAAACTACAGTTCCACAGGCAGAGTGGATAAAGAGAAAAAGGAGTATAGAGTACAGAATTTGGACTTCTCAGACTTATAATGTAGTGAAGTGCTAGCTAATTTTGTGGCCCTCAGGCGAACTACTTTATCTTAGGTTTTTTTTCACCCATAAAAGAAAGTTCATTGCTGTCTGAAAAAAAATGATGCAGTTTATTAATTAACGTGAGCATTTTAAAACTTTTCTTTTGGTGAAAGGATGTCTTTGTGTAGAAAACTAAATCAATATGTTCCATTGCAGTTTTTAGATAAAATGCTGTTTGTTTGTTTATTTATCATAATCTCACTCTTTCTAGCCAATAAATGCTAGGATGTGAAACTACCTTTAGGTACAAAAGAGTCTTGTGATATGATCCTGTCCATCGTAAGAAAGTGATGGCAAAGTAACTGTATGAATTTAAATACATGAAAATACTTGGATTTTTCAGTAGAGTAACATGTCAAAAGGAATAATTCATTTTATACATAAATTATCATGTATATAGGTGTGTATGGCTTTTATACATAAGGTATCGCTAACAGGTACTGTTTTGTGTCTTAAAATATAGACCTTTTATTATACCACATTATTATTTCTTTATAGTGGTGGAGATAATAATGGAAAGTCACATTAAAGCTGTTTTGTCAGCTAAAGATAAAAGAAGATGACAGATGTTATCCTCTTACTCTGGATTCTTGATTATCATAGCAATTCTGGGGAATTGTTCTACCTTTTCCTCAGGCCTTACTATCCTCTATCCTAGTGCACTGAAATACTGGACTGGACTGAACAGCAGTTAAACTAGAATATTCAGTTTCCCACCTGGCGTTTCTACCTGTATATTGTTACAAATGCTAACTTCTGTAATGTTTACTTTATGTACAAACTTAGCTGTCTTATTACTGGAATCTGTGTGTTTCAATTCAAAGGTAAATGAAATTACCTGTTTGCTGTAAAAAAATAATTCAAGTGGTATGACTGCACTATCCTTAGACATGAACGTTTTTATTTGGATGCCTCTATTGTGTATTTTGAGTGATGTGTAGGAAATAACTTGGAAACAGTTACTGAAACAGCAGATATTGCTACCGTTTAGGAATCTCAAACTATGTAGACAATCCTGGATGTACTGGGGAAGAAAAAGTGTCCAGTAGTGAGTTTAGGATGATACTTTCAGAGCATTAAGCAGCGTTTTAACAGACAGAAATTAATCTCTTACAAAAATTAGTACTTTTTTTTTAGGTAATGGCCTGCAGGTGCTTCTCATTCTAGACTGGCTGTTTCCAGAAGTTTGGTTTTGAAACATTGTTTCATGGAGATTTTAAAGGCTCAGAGCACAGGATTTTGCTTAAACTGTGTGTAAATTAGATTATTCTGTTACGTTATCAGAGACATTTGGTGACTGATCGCCAGCTGTACTGATTAAACTTACTATGAGTTGTACTTTTCTGTTAATGTAGCTACAAAGTGGGTAGGTAGGGTTTTCTATGCTTACTTACATACATGAATTAAAATATATAGCAATTTAGAGTGTCAGAATTTGTTAACATCTAAAATAACCAAATCTTGAAAGCTAGAAACTTTCTGTCACTGCAAACAGAGTTGTTTTGAGCATAAGCTCACATTTGGCCCAACTATATAGCTGCAATAAAATTATTTTCCTTACCATTTCTTTCTTTCTTAAACTAAAATTAAAGGGATAGTTGTAACTTACAATGGAGGTATAACACAGTGTTGAAATTATTGAACAAAAATCCTTTCCCTGCTTGTGTAGGTTTAAAAGCTGTTTTGTCCCAGTGAATATGGCTTTCTTGTGATTATTCTTAAATCTGTCTTTATTGATTTTTGTACTTTTTCAGCTTCTCCAGTACCAACAAGAACGGGTCAAGCAGGGAGTTTGTCAGGCAGCCCCAAACCTTTCTCTCCTCAAGCATCAACGCCAATTTCTGCTAAGCAAGAAAGAACTTCTACACCAGGAAGCATTCTGAATCTTAATCTTGGTTAGTCTTGACCTTTGAAAACCTAATACTGTTACAGCTGAATAAATTACAGTGGTGTCAATGCAACATGTGAACAACTTCTATATGGCTTTAAATGAACAAAGGGCTTTAAATGAGGCATGTGTGTAATTATTGTTTCACCAAATATGCTGTTCTTTTTTTGTTTTCTAAATGAAAGTTCCTATTATTGTTGTTTCTTGTTGATAAAAGGAAGTAGTTAAAGGATTATTTTTTTTTTAGCTGAACTATAGGAACAAATGTTAGGTAAGTTTCTAAAGGTTATAATTACATAAACATTGCTGCTCTTCACCCCTCAGTCTCTCAAGTGAATTGCTGGCAAAGTTTTCTTGTGGTCTTTGGGATTTAGGATTTACTAGGTTGTCTTCTGTCTTGCTGCCTTCACGTCACCTCCTCACTGACTATCCCTCTCTAGGGAGATAGATGGGCTTATGGAATTTTGAAAAATGTAGTAGGTAAGTACTACTTTGGTAAAATAGTTCTGAAAGCCAAATGGCTGTAAATCAGTTTCCTCAGTCATGCTTTATTCCTGTGAGTATTCTCATTCAGTTCTGACTACTTTTTACCTCCACATGGTATTACATGGAGAAACAGGATTCTGCCCCTTGGTGTTAGTCAAACACTTCAGGAAGATTTGAGCTCAAGTGCTGAATTCATGTTTTCAGTGAGTTACAGATATTCTGATTCTGGATACAAGCTCACAAGTACATTTTTCAGTGTGTTAATCTATCTGTGTGGACATAACCATAGAATTAATTTCTTCTGCTGCACTGCAGCTGTTTGTCATCTTACCAGAGGTGACAATGCATTTGGAAGAACATTAAGAAATACGTAGTGCTGCAGTTGTTTGAGCCACAGATGGGAGACATCAGCTGGAGCATAGAATATTTTGAATAGTATGGATTGGAAAACCCGACGTTATGGTCCATGAGCAATACCATAAAAGAACAGCTAGTATGCTTTCAAGTAGGAAGTCAGTTATTTTTTCAGCTTTAGGGGAGTTCCCTTTGCTAAATATACTCTTTGGTGATAGGAATGAAAGTGGCAACCCTACTTCATTTAATAGTGTCAGCTGTGCCAGACGTAGATCCATCTGTGAATCCTATGGTTTTCAGATACGACTTCCTGTGTCTTATTGTCAGACATAATGTGGACAAGGTTTCTCTCTTAAAAAAAAAAAAGTGAAAGTCCAGAAAACAAAGACACTTATGTACCTTGAGCAGAGTACTAGGAGGACTCTATGGTCGTCCTCTAATTCAGCAATAAGGAAGGAAAAATAATGGAAACGAGCCATCTATTGTTACTGGCAGACTGGTTAAATTGAAAAATGGAGATGGGGATGACCAAGCTATACACAGATTGCTTGGGAAAAATACATATTTCTGATAGTATAGGACCTGTCCTTCTATAACGGAGGCAGAAAAGATAGAACAAGAAGTTTGACCAAGTAAGGAATGAAAATTTTCAGATCGGTAATGAGAAAAAAATACTTTGGAGTTGAGAACTTGAAGGTTTCTCCACAATGGGCTTGTATGCCATTTGGTTCTGTTTTCATTTTACTCATGGTTTGACATTAATGAGACAGATTGGAAATCCAGATCAGTGAGACCTTCTTGTAGGTTAGACAGAGAAATTTGGATTGCAAGACTTCTTTCATGTATAGGATGTAGGATTCCCTGGGGAGGTCTTCATCTTCCTCCATTCTCCATTTTTTCTTCTGTTTCTATCCTGCCATGTATGTACCTAAGGCTATGAAGACCTTGAATCAAATTCTGTACTAAGGGTAATATAACCATTACTGCTGTGGGATTAGTGTGGATTGGGTGACATAATTAGCACAGGAAGAAAAAAACCTAATTTATTAAACATTTTCAATACAAGGAACAAATTTTTCAAAAGTACTTAAATGACTTAAAACCTTCATTTCTGTTTTCAAAATTTACACTGTATTGAAAGTTGATAGAGTTTTTGTATTATGTTTAGTCTCTTCCAGTATGAATATGTGACATGAGGAGTGTGAAATTCAGTATTACTTTTATGAACATTTCTGTGGGACTAGAAAGGACACTTGAATGTTATTTAGACTGAATTTGTATATGCTATAATGCATACATATAACAAGCCAGGATGATCCAAATTATACTCTGTATATTTGGCTTGTGGGATTGCACCACACAAGTTGTTGCCTCACTCTAGGAAGAGATGAGGAACTACTATTTTAGCAGTTAACAAAAACTGTGTGAATACTTGAATGGTTCCTTCTGTACTGCTCTATCTGTAATATAGTTTCTATTTGCAACCTGATAGGAGATGGAGTGGCCAAGCCTCATTGAGACAACTGTACTGCTGAAGTTGAGTCATTATGTACTATGGCTCTTAAATTTTAAATGTGGAGTGTACCTTGATATTAAGTTCAAACTTGTAAAGAATGTCTGCTCAGAGGAATCATTGGCTCAGCCCTTCATATTTATTTCACTTTTCTCTGAGCTGTATATCAACAAAACAGTCTTGTAAATATATGTTGTGGGTTTTGTGTTTGTTTTGTTTTGATTTTCAGTAAAAATAAAGCAATACTGTGACATCTTTAGCTGCTATGGAATGAAACTAAATGAAGCACAAACACACATTGTGCCAGTGTTGTCTTTTGTCTTCTTTATGGCCCCTGTCCTTTTCCAGCATATGGCATTGGCTCTTTTGATCCTATCATGAGCCAGTTCAAGGAGCTAAACTGTCCAAACCTAATTCTTCTCTCCGTTCCTTTCCCCTTTTTCATGTCCCCTTCCTCCTCTCCCAAACAAGCAACTGACTCCAGACTCTTTTAGTGCCCTGAGCACTAAAGGAGTGTCAGCACTGTTGGCAAAGAGTAAAGGATATGGCTATGCTACAGAAATATAACCTCTGAAATTGAAAAATTGAAGCAAAAATGTGAAACTTAGTTGCTAAGACAGTTTTAACTTTAGCACTGTAGTCTGTACTCTTTGCAGACTTGCAGATCTGTATGTTTCAAAGTGAGAATTCTCTACGTGTATAGAACTCAAGAGAAGACATACATTGAAAAATTTATTGTCTTATTTATCTAGTGTAACGAACCACATTTTTACTTCTATTCTCATTACTTATTTTTTGAATTGTAAATGGTGACTATAAAGATTTTTCTTCCTATTTAATTTTCTCTGTGAAAATATTACTACTAGTAGTAAATAACAGCAGTAACTTACTAGAAGTGCTGTCAGACAGCTTACAGATGTGAATGATGCTTTCTTGATAATTTCACATTGATGGAGAAAACATCCACATAATTGATGCATGCATTTTGCAAGTGAAATGTGTAGTATCAGAGAGGAATAATCCATTGTTTGTGGTAAAGTAATTTTAGAATTATTATTTAGCCCATAATTATAAAAGTAGTGAAATATGTTTCAGATTGTCTGCATTGTTACTCTGTAAAATTTGTCTTATCTGGATAGTGATCTCTCTTCTTTTTGTAAAATATTTTTCTTAGTTCCTTTTTCTTTTTCTAGATCGTAGCAAAGCTGAGATGGATCTGAAAGAGTTGAGTGAGTCAGTCCAACAGCAGACCACTCCTGTGCAACTCATTTCACCAAAGCGACAGATACGTAGTAGGTTCCAGCTTAATCTTGACAAGACAATAGAGAGTTGTAAAGCACAACTTGGTAAGTATATCTAAAGAATACAATGGATATCTGAAGGATACATTTGAGGAAATTTTGAATCGAAGTTTAAAAGAAGTTTTCAAATAGTAAAACCATAACTATCTTATGCATTAAAACATAAGTAGAGGATATTTTAACTCTTTGAGGCAAGTAGAATGCAATGAACTAGTTTAATTTAAAATACACTGAGACCTGATGTTTCAAATTTTTGTCAAAAAACTTTCATCTTTTAATCTGTTTTTGTACCATTCTGATGTATAGTATGAAAGAATTATAGTCTTACTATTTGCTTTGTAAATTGAAAAATTCAAGAATTGTACCTAAGTTATGTCATTTGCACAAATTGACATATCCAGTCACACAGGAGCTGAATGTTGTTAGAAACTTTAGTGTTGTCTAGCACTTAGTTAAAGACATTCTAGGCACTAAAAAAATTAGAGATTCTCCTCGCAAAACTTATGCAGTCTAAAATTGATTCTGCAAGCATGCATGTAAGTGACTTTAATCAGGTGAATAGTGTTACTGATTTTAAGGTGGTTTCTTGTGGATAAAAATAATTCCTCTTTGTATTTGCCAGCATTGGGTCCTGAGTTGAACAAAACAGCTTGCAGGTAGTGGAAAAAAGCAGTGAAAGGAGGGACATTGAATGAAATAAAAATATGAATTGGAATATGTGGAAGGTAATTCTTATACATTCTGGTATTGAGATAGGGCACTAAGGGAAGTGTTTATAGCTTAAGGACTGACAGTTAAGATAATGGTATGTATACACTTTGTTCCAATATATAAAGTCTTTTTTTTTTGTAATGTCAGTCAGTCTGATGTCAGCATGGAATGTACTTTCCTCCCCACAATTAGGAATAAATGAAATATCTGAAGCTGTTTATACTGCAGTAGAACACAGTGACTCTGAAGATTCTGAAAAATCTGACACCAGTGACAGTGAATATAGTGATGAGGATCAGAAATCAAAGAATGATCAAGAAGATGGAGACGACAAGGAAGGTACAAGAAGTGACAAAGAATCATTGAGCTTGAAAAAAAAACCTAAGCCTCCAGCACAGAATGAAGACAAGGAGGAGCTTAAAAGCACAAGTCCGGAAGTGGAGAAAACAGATGACTTGGTCAAAGAAAAGGCAATTACAGACACTGAAAAAGAATTTTCTGAAAAGGGAAAAAGTTTACAGCATCCTGCAAAAGAAAAACTGAAAGGTAAAGATGAAACAGACTCTCCAACTGTGCATCTAGGACTGGACTCTGATTCTGAGAGTGAACTTGTCATAGATCTAGGAGATGATCATTGTGGCCGTGAAGGAAGGAAAACCAAGAAAGAATCTAAAGAGCCTCCTCCTAAACAAGATGGTAGGATGAAATTCTTTCCTTCATTTTTTTCTTCTGTTCTGTATGGTTGTTATCAAAGCCGGAATTGTTACCTTTATTTTTGCATTAAGATAAAAATATCTGTACTGAAACAATTTTTAAGAATGATTTTTCATTCTTTGTGATTATGAAAAAAGCTTTCAGTCCCCAGTAAAGTTTCTGGTTTAAATAAAATACATTTCACTGAGTTTCCTTTCAAAAAGGTGTAGAACTATGAATATCCGTAATATTTGTTCTGTGATACATGTAGAATTTATTTTGCAACTGTTATGACTTTAAATTGAATCTTTATGCTTCCATAGACCTCTCAAAATTGCAGGTATAGAAGAAGCTGGAACTTGTCAAACATACAAATTGCATAAGGTCCCATTGAAACCAATGTAAATGCTCTCAGTAATAATCAAAAGAACAGCTAAATCACATGTATTGTCCCTGAGATACTGTCCCTTGTTTCTGTGTCTTGCTAAAAGAGGAAAGCAATCTCAATGAGTAAAGTGCTTTTGCTGAGCTTGTTCTGCATGTTAGCCTTTTGACAGAACAAAATAGAAAACCAGATTTAAATGGTTAGATTGAAAAATATTTTAATATTCCTAGAAGTTTCTTGTCTGTGTTTTATAGCATGTTGGCTCAATAATTTTATTTAAAACAGTGTTTTCAACTTTAGAAGACAACTTAATGCTTCTGAATTCTGAACCTTAAAACTGAATTTAATGGATAAATGTTATTATGAGATAATCAAGAATATAGGCTTACAAACTAAAAACAGAATTGTCATTTTGGGGAGTTTATATTGACTGATTCTCATTTTATTTAAAAATTTATTAAGCAAGTCAGCTTTATGAATTTCAGAACCACTGATTCATGTATTACTAGTGGCCTAAACCAGTGATGGCTGAAATAATAAGTAATCCTAAAATTTTACTTTGATATGGAGGCAAAAGAATAATACATATTCTGAGTGAAATTAAAAGTAGATTTAAATATCCATATATATGCACCTATATGAATATATTCTAGACATAATTTGTGTTCTGTCCATGATTCCAAGGCCCCTACCTTTACTTGTGGCTATGAGATATTAAATCACCTTGTTCCAGAAAAGAGATCTGATGCATGTGAATCTGAAGGGCTTTGCCCCCTTTCCAGAAACCTGTCAATGCAGCAGCCTTCTCTTCCAGACATGTTTTTCCTGGCCACAGCTTTGAAAGAATCATCCAGTTCCTAAATTGATCTGATACATGGAACAGTCATCTATAAACTGGAAGATTTTCAAACAAACGTAGATATCTTAAATACATTGTGTATTCGGTTGTCAGTGCCAGTTCACCTTTGTTTAGAAAGTTTTTAGTATGCTATTCCTTCAGTTACTGTTCAGTCACTGTTCCTTTTGAATGTATTTTTGTCCTGAAAGAAATTGGAATGATAGGTGTAAGTGGTAACCCAGAAGCAACCTATCATGTGCTAACCTCTCACATACCTTCCAAAGGAGGTCAGGCTGTTTTTTCTGGGTTTTGTACTTTGTTTTGTTTTGCTTAATGACTCGCGCTGCTGAATTGCCACCAACTTCAATTAGACTGAAATGAGTTTACTTGTAGAATATCAAATATCTTTTGAGGAAAATAACTCAAAGTAGACTGGAAGGTGCATATGGCTCTTCCAAAAATTAGATGGAAAATTATGGATCAGATGTGATGGCAAAAAGCTGGCATTACATTTTATGTTTGTTTAGTCGTAGGTAAAACTCCACCTTCGTCCAGTGCAAGCACCCAACCTCTACCAGAAACTCCAGTACTTACCCGCTCTGCAGCCCAGACTCCACCAGCTGGTGTGACAGCAACTACTAGTGCTTCTTCTACTGCTAGTGCTCCATCTGCAGCCACTGGAAGCCCTGTGAAAAAGCAGAGGCCTCTGCTGCCTAAGGAAACGGCCCCTGCTGTACAGCGTGTAGTGTGGAATTCTTCAAATAAATTTCAGACATCTTCTCAGAAATGGCACATGCAGAAGGTGCAGAGACAGCAGCAACAGCAGCAGAGCCAGCAGTCTCAGTCACAGCAACCTCTGTCCTCTCAAGGGACAAGATATCAGACAAGACAAGCAGTTAAAGGTATACACTTTCTCACTCAAATGTGCCTCTGATGCCATAATTCCCCAGTAGTGATCTCAGTGCTCCAAGGCTGCCCAACCAGGAGTTCTTCCATATAAACAAAATCTCAAAGTGTGGTTCTACTGTGATAAGTGACTTTAAAATACAACAACTTACTCACGATACCTGCTCTTTCTGGTGTGTATTTAGAGTCATGTCTCCTTATTTTAATGACAAAAAGTTTGTATGTGTATTTGTATAAATATTTTTGCCATTCTTAGCCATCACAGATTTGGGAGAGTGAACTGAATTATTCTCTGGATTATATGATAAAACCATTAACTATTCCACTTGCATGATTACCACTGTCACCTCAATATCTACAAACTGGATCCAGTTTAGCTGATCTGTATGGTTTTTCATAGAGTGTAATTTGACAACAATGAAATTACCTAGGCTACATTTGTCTTTGAAATCCCTGTTGCTTAACTCTTAACAAGACCTCGATGCTAGTTTACTGAGCAAACAGCCATGACATTCTAGAATGTTTTCACTACTGTTTTCTTACCATCCCTTTGCCGGAGGTTTCACTAGTAGTAGGCACATGGTAATATAAGCTCATGCTTCTATTGCTTCACTCCACAGAACAGCAACTTTATGTAAATCTACCTTCATTTGTAATTTCAAGTTAATAAATGGAACTGTTTACTGGCATGCCTGATGAATAGGTATTCTCCATTCTGCTAACGCTGCTGGCAAGCCAGTAATTTCATACAGAAGAGAGGTTTAGGTAATGGGACACACATGAACGTTTACCACATTCTCTGGTCCCAAACTGCTTTTGTGACTGTCATTTAAGAAGTGTTGAAGCAGCGGTATCTTTCTGCTTGTAGACTGCACAAATTTGATACGGAAATATTCAGTGAAAAAAATAAATGTGAAACTTGGTGAAGTCTTATTTTCAATAGAATCATACTTTAATATAAAAACTTAATAATATAGGGTGAACTTTAAATGTTCAGCCTATGAGTTTGTTTTATCAATATGTTTACTATTGAGTGCATCATAGCAATGTTCCATCTCAAATATTATACTCTAGAAATACATAAAATGAAAGCTATAAAATTTATAGATTTCTTATATACTGAACTGACATAAACAAAAATATACTACATAGAGATAAATACGAATAACTTTTTTATTTCAGTAATTCCTGTTTTGAGGATATTGGCAATGAAGACATCTTTTATAATATGAATCATTAAAAAAAGATTGAAAAGTATTGTCCTAAAAAAATACATTTTTAAAAATATTTAAGGCAGATAAGTCATTAGGGATCAAAAGGTGAGGGTCTTTGCATTTTGATTTGCACTCTCATTTTTTAATTACCTACTGTTTAAGATCATTTGAAATATTGACCAAAGATGAGAAAACTTTTCTTACCCTATTTGAGTTAACACTATGAATAACTTCTTTGCTTTAATGAGTTAATGTAATGTTGCATTCCTTGTTCTGCAGGCAACCAAAGGCTAATGTTGATCTTGATATATGTATATTAAACATGTTGCAACACTAATAATAATTAATAGCATTAATAAACAAAAGAATGGAAATAACACCAGGAAGTATTACTAAAGTAGGCTTTCTTCAACAGTGGCTTGCTAAACCCTGTTTCAAAGAAAAAGAAAATAAATTCAATACTATGTGTCAAAATTATGGCAAATGAAAATGTCAAAGTCTAACTTATGTTCATATGTATGATATTAGTTGGGAGTTCTCCAAATTGAGAGCTTAGGAAGTGAATTCCTAGGAAGTGGGATGGAAAAGTCCCAAAATGGGAGGAATACAGATCTGAGGGAGACTTTTGGATTGGCAAGTCTAAAATAATGTTTAAAAAATATATTTGCTTCATTACCTTTAAGCCTTACAATGATGTACAAGTTCAGTGGCTGGGCACCGTATAATTAATTGATTAAATGGCACCATTGTATAAATGTAAGTCTTTGAAATGGTTAGGTGCACACATTTAAGTTAGACATTAAAGTTAGAAGTTTGCCTGTTTATTTTCATAATTGTTTATGTGATTGATCTGCTGTATGTTCTCTTTTCTTAGCTGTGCAGCAAAAAGAGATCACCCAGAGCACTTCCACATCCACTATAACCTTGGTTACAAGTACTCAACCTATTTCTATGGTTACCAGTTCTGGATCTGCAAGTACACTTTCTTCCTCAGTTAATACAGACTTGCCAATTGCAACAGCTTCAGCTGATGTGGCTGCAGATATTGCTAAATATACTAGCAAAGTAAGTTCTTGAGCAAGGTTTTCTTGAAATTTTATTTTGAAGTGAACTTTCACATTTTTGACATTTCACATTCTGAAATAACTTTATTTTCAGGTTGTCTTATGTTGCAAATTCATTCCACTAGGTAGGAACAGCTAGATTTTGACGAGAGTGCGGAACCATCTTTTTAGAGCTGGCTGAATGCTGCCATTCCAAGCCACAGTGTGTATATGATGGGCTTCAGCTGCTCAGACACTTCAGACCCTTTCCTTCTCATATTCCCCCCTTGCTGCTTCTTGTTTACATTGCATTGTGTTTTGGACCATTTTCTGTGTTTTCTCTGAAGCGTGTAGCTATCTCCTCAGCATCATATTTTCAGTAAACATTAATATTTCTTCATCTATGTCCTGTAATACATATACAAAAATGTACTTTTGTTTTAAAACACTGCAGAGCTTCACCAGATGGTAATTTGTCATAAGTGTGTATTCATGCATTAGAACAGAAGCTAAGTTGTTAAAGAGAAGACATGGTATAATACTTGTATCATAATAGTGAGAGTCAGGGATGGGACCTTAGCTTTTCCTATACTCTCTTAGATCTTTAAAATAAAAAAATCAATGTGAATACTATATAAGGAAATAAAGTTGAGTACCCAGGCATTAAAAGCACCAGAATTAATCTTGACTGTCAACTTTCAGTGTTCTCACTCAACCATATGGTCTTGGTGGGATTGTCAGTGGTCAGCAATGTCAGTACATCTCGGGGGGTGGGGGGGGTTGGGGTTGGTTGTTTTGGTGTGTTTTTGGTTTGGTGTTTGGTTTGGTTTTTTTGCATGGAGTTTCTTCCTCAAACTCATGTTTGTTTTTTTTATTCATTTGTAAATTATATCCATGGCAATGTCTTGGAAAAGTAGAAGGTCAAGCAATTCACCAGTTCAGGACACTTAAAAATCAAAGTCCTGATCAAAAGTGTTGTGTTCTACCTTCTAAATAGTTCTCAAAAAATAGTCCCAGATAAATATATAGAGAGATACGAGGCATTGTTGATAGTAATATAAGTTCACATTAGAGTGGTTGAAAGGACGTGAAAGTGGGTATCTATTAAAAATACATATCAAAGAATTTATTTTTTTCACTTTGTCTTTCAGATGATGGATGCCATCAAAGGAACAATGACTGAAATATATAATGATCTTTCAAAAAATACTACTGGAAGTACAATAGCTGAGGTTAGTGTAAGATAAAAAAAAAAATACTGCTTGTATTTTAACTTTGAAAGTTGTTGTAAAATAGTATTTTTATATATAAAAGTACTGTATAACTATATCCACAAAGTATTACATATTAAGACTAGAGATCCTAATTTCTATGCTGTTTTAGAAGTAATGATTAGAGTGGTGGAGAAAAACACTGAAAAAATATCAGATGGGCTCTATAAGATAAACAGTAAACCATCAAGCCCAGATCCTTAAAGCTTCTGTTGAGGATTTAATTTTGTGTCACCTTGTTGAAAATCAGAAATGAAGTAGTTTTTTTGAAAGTATCGCTTTTTTAAACCATGTATTTGTCCACCAGAGGAAGAAGATTTTAATTTGCTTCTAGTGCAGTAGCTTATTCCAGTTATGTGATTATGACTATAGTTTTTAATACTTTTCAAAAATACTTTTAATACTTTTTGAATTTTTTAATGAAATGCTATACATTGCTTTTGTCTCCAAAGGTAGTACTTAGCATCTTTTAAGTGTTTTCTTTAAACTTGGAAAAAGCAGATTAAACAGTGTAAACTAAGTATGAATGTGAACAAATACAGCTCAGAGTTAAGTGTGATGATTTGTTTGCTTGTTTTAACCAAAACAAGGCAGTCACAATTTTGAGCAACAATATTTGTATTCCCAATTCACAGTGAATGAAAAACTTGCTTTTGTAAGCCTCAGCTAGTTGAAAATAAAATAAATGAAATGTCATACTAATAAATGCAAACAAAACTGAGGAATAGGTTTTTGATTCCAGTCAGAGAAATTTGAGACTCGACTAATTTCAGAGGAAGCAAGAGCAAGTTCAATAGAAGTGTTTTTTCTTTTCGAACAATTCTGTACTTTTTATGGTAAGAAAAATCTAGCAGGTATTTAGAATACTTTAGACTTTGGTTTGGGGTTTACTATGGTCTTGTCTTCATGTTAATATGAAGGAGCCTTGATGTAAGTGTTGATCAGGTTCTTTGCTTTCAGGCATGTTTTTCTTTATAATAATTACGTAGTATACACTTCACCCTGTTTATTATTACTAACTATTAAATTTTTAATATTTAGATTCGGCGTTTGAGGATTGAGATCGAAAAACTTCAATGGTTACATCAACAGGAACTCTCAGAAATGAAGCATAATCTAGGTATGAAAATGGCAGTCCAAAATAGCGTGTCAGGTTTTGTCCGAAATAGAAAATCCAAGTGCTTGTAGTGTGTATTACCTTCATCATATGATACTACAAATTGTCCAAGTGAAGGACAGAAGACCTTATGTAATGTGCTGTGGTGATGTTAGCAGACACCTTTTGAGTATGTACACAAAGTTACTTTATCTGTGCATATTAAACAACAGATGTTAGGGCCAACAGATTTAGGCTAAAGAGAGCTTTTGTTAGGGCAGAATAACTCTTTATTTTATGCATCATTGGATTACCCTTCTTCATGAGATATTGTATACTGATTGTTTCATACTAATTCTCATATGAACCAGGTTCTGTTAATATAGCTACTGGGGGAACCTACTTCCTCTGGTATCTTTGTCAGTTGTAGCTGACATTTTGGTTCAGATCAACTGTTGGTGTATATACTTACTTATTTATTTATTTAAACTGAATAGACAACCTTGACTCACTCTTGGTGCCAGATGGGCAGTGAAATAAAGTCAAAATGCTACCTTAAACAGACAAAAGAATATTCCTCCTAGGAGGGGAATTTTCACCTCTACATTCACTCAACCATGTGGGCAGGAAATGAAATCAGGAGTAAAATGTGATTCCTCTTAAATTATCTTTTTTTAATGCACTGACTGTGGGAAGAAGGTTGCAGCTGTGTGATCAAGTCTCCTTTAAGCTACATGCAGTCCAAACAGCCTTCGGACTGTGTAATACAGTGTCTTTGTCCACTCTTAGACTCTCTTTTTGCAGAGCACATCTGGAATCAAAGTGAATTAAGGGCTGAATAACTCCATATTGAGACTCATGTCTTTGGTTTGTTGGTAACATTTTGCTCTTTCAAATCAGGGTAGACCAGTTTTTCTACCGCTGCAGTCAGTTATAGTATTCTTTGGAATTACTCGGGTATGGCAACAATTTGCCTGCAACTCGTGGGACTGAATGTCTAGGTGTGCTCAGAACTAACAGAAAAATCCTTTAAACCCTTTTGTCACCAGTCTTAAGCTACTGATTTATATAAACACCTTTAATGGTGTTTTGAAAGTATGTCAACCTCACAGTTTTTCAGAAGACTCAAAGATTCATCCTGAGTCAAGGTGGCTAGAAGTGGAATGCTTTATTTGTATTTGCCCACTTTCTTGAAGATTGTGAAGCTCTTTTTCGCTCACAGTCACTCATAGTGACTGAGGTATCGATTTATGACTGCATTCATAGTATGTAGCTCTCAGAGCAATCCTGATGTAAGGCTCAGATTTACAGCTTTATGAACATAGTGATGAGTTTGCACAACTTTGTCAGTGTCCCTTTTGGAACTTTCACATTTTTCTTTGTAAATAAACCAAGATACAATGAACAGTTGATTTACTGTTACCTATTTATGAGATAAGAGAAGAAATATAATTCTCCGTATTTTCTGAATATTGGAGCAGACCAAAAATTTGGGCTTGTAAAGACAAAGTATGTTAGCAGCAGCTGCATATATCCTTTTTGTGTTTATGCCGCACCTAGTACACCTGGATTCTGCTCCTTTGTGGGATATCTAGAACTAGTGTGTTAAACAAATGGAAGGTAATGGCTAAGGGTAAAAATCATGGTGCCAGAATAAGAAGATGGAAGATTTTCATTTGTTGAGTAGGTATGAAACAGAGATGCCCAAATTCAGGGAGTATTTTGATTGTTAGTTTTAATTTCCTGTTGTCTTTAAACTCATGAAAATGATTGTTTTGCACCTTGCTGTTAGGGGGTGGGAAATGCAAAACTCATCTTTCTTTGCATTTTGAGTAGAACTGACAATGGCTGAAATGCGTCAAAGTCTAGAACAAGAACGAGATCGTTTGATTGCTGAGGTGAAGAAACAGCTGGAATTGGAAAAGCAGCAAGCAGTAGATGAAACTAAAAAGAAGCAGTGGTGTGCTAACTGCAAGAAAGAGGCCATATTTTATTGCTGTTGGAATACTAGCTACTGCGACTATCCCTGCCAACAAGCTCACTGGCCTGAGCATATGAAATCTTGCACACAGTCAGGTAAGCTTGCTCTGGGTTGCCTGTTTCACAGCTGAGGCTGTTAGGGTGGGTGGAATACACAGTGACTCAATATTCTTCATTTGCATGGGTGCAGATGTGCCTGTGAAGAGTGACTGTGGACCGGTACACGAGTAGTGGCTACTTTCTCTTTTTTCCTTTATTTTAGCTACTGCAACACAGCAAGAAACAGATACTGAAATTAGCACAGAAACATTAAATAAATCATCTCAGCCCAGTTCAAGCGTGCAGCCTACGCCCACAGAAACTGCCAGCATCCCTAAAGAAAAGGAAGGTTCAGTTGATAAAAGCAAAGAGAGTGTTACAGTGAGTATCATTGTGGTCACTTCAAACAAAAATAATATGTAAGATTTCTCTGAAACCTACCCCTAAAGGCTTCCCTGGATCAGCCAGGAATTTATGACCATTTGCATATTTCAGAGAGTGTGATTTGGGGAGTGAGATAGGGAGTTGTGTGTTTGGTTTTTTTTTCCCTTCATCTTGGCAAAAAAAAAAAATCTCCTTCTGTCCTCTGGGAACACCCCTTCCCCTTCACTCATTCCCAATAAAACCTTGTGTTGGCTTGACTCATCCTTCCAGCCAAAGGGGACTGGACCTCTTTCTCTCTCTCTCTCCAGGACCCATCAGTGTAGCTTCTGGTCTGGATCTTTCGATACAAGTTGCCTTCTGATAAGCAATACTGACTGCAGCACTTCCAAGCCCTTCTTGCCTGGGGGTTCAGAGGCCAAGCTCAAGACCTGCATTCAAATCAACTTACTTTATCACAACAGACTGCCACTAGGGTACCACAATGTTCCATAACACTGATACAACAATTCACCTGGATCTACAGTTAACGGAGCAGTGTGCAGTTACGAAATCCTCCATAGCATCTACTCTGATAGTATTCAGTAGGCAAGGATGAGCAAATGCTCTAATAAAAGGGACTTAACATTGCATATATAGAAAATGTTTATAGAGAAGATTTTGCTTTATAGGTAGGGCTTGACTATTAGCAATTTCAGCATCGTTTTTCTTCTGCCCTTGCAAGATTTATTACATGAAAAATTTTAGGGGGGGGCTGATCCTTCAAACCCTTACACATGACCCCCACATCAGTAGGAGCCTTGTTGTATTTTAAAATATTAAAAGCAAACTAATTTTGTAGTATTGTGATTCTAGCATGATGTCTCATTGAGATAGTCCTATAGAATTGGGAAGCATAGTACACTAGAGAGCTGTGTTCATTACTTGACACTTTTACTACTGTCTGGTGTTAGATCTCTGGGCTTGACATGTCATCTAAGGGAGTAATGTGGGAAACAGATTTGACGAAGGGAAAAAGGATGTGCTGTTCCACCTGAATGCTTTGGTGAAGTTAGTTAAACTCTGGCTCAGTCGATGTTCATATGCATTGTTTGTGGCAGCACAACCTTTGTATTACTGGGGAAATAGAGGATGGGATAAAACCAATTACCTAAAACTTTTGCCAGGGAATATTCCAGTTATACAAATCTGGAATTGCTTTCACGCAGATGTTCTACCTGAAACATCATGCCGTATACATTGATCATGTTCATAATTTGAATTTTGTTTTATTAACAAAGAAGTAACCTGTGAATTCATTAAGATGCAAATTTTTAACACAAACGAAACATCCAACATAAATTTCATATAATTATAATAACAACTAGGTGGAATTTATGTAAAAGCTGAGACTTCTACTGAGGTTGCCTGTGCTGTCTCTGCAGATAGCAACAGGTGTGACAAGCAACCAGCCTATAAAACTGGTCCAGGTACCGCAGACCACCACCTATATTCCAACTACTCAACCCACAATTGTAAGTACAATATCGTCATTTAAAGTCTGCAGTAGTACTGTTCCTGGCATTAAAGTTGCTCAGTATTTCTGGGGGGTTGTCTCCGTCTGCTGTTCTATCAAGATATGAATTCACTGGTATAGTCTCAACTTGCAGTGCAAAATGTCTTATTTTGCTGTGCAACATTCCACCCTTTCATTTCATCAGTCATTATTACAAGGATTCAGAAATTGTCATTAAGTATAGTGAAGGCACTGAGGACAGTCAGCCTTCCATTTTACATTATTATGTTAGTTATTTGTCCATTTCATGTATATACTTGACCACAACATCAATGTAAATATATAGAATTCATTTTAAATATCTTTTAAATATCTTTTTGTCTATGGTATCCTAAAGAGATTTAATTAATTCTGAGCTATGCTTGATATTCCTGTGACATCTTAGTAACTATGAAAGAAAATATGCATTCATCAGTAGTGTGTCTCCCATGCAGTCTTGCACATTAGCGTTACAAAATTATGAGAAATAGCATTGGAATCAGACCTGTTTTTTTCCATCAAAGACTTAACCAAGGACACTTGAATTCCCTAGTGTCAGTCACAGAAGTGAGTTTGATTTTTGTATTTCATGCACCATAATATCCCATTATTTCAACTGGTCGTGTTCTGCAGTGCTCACTTGAGAGTCAGCGTGGCATCTGCACTGACGTTCTTCTTACCAAAAGGAAATCTGCTAATACTGCACTGGTAACTGAACGGCACGCCCTGTCTCAGTGGTGGGTTCAACAGAGAAGCCCATGTGTGGATAACTTCAGTTCATTTTCTGACTGAAGTTAGATAATTTATAATAGTAACTACGTACTAATGTAACAGTGTACTTTCATCACACTGTGACTGTGAGGCCCAATTTGCTATAGAAGTTACTCTGTCTTTCTCTCCCTTTGTGCACATGCACCCATGTGCGCGCATGCAGACCCCCTCCATGCCCCCTCAGCTGCAGGATACGTGCCTCTGTGTGGGTATGTCTATGAGTACACGGACATGCACACAGATATACAGTATTTCATAGCCATTATATTCCACAAAAATGTTACTGCTCTTAGTGGGGATCATGACTTTTCACATTCCTAGCAGCATTTTAACTCAACTCATTTTGTCTCAACTGAGAGCACTGTGCACCTTTGCGGCATTGGCCCTAAGTTGCTTGAACTGCTTTACCACAACGACAAGGTTTTATATGTGTTTTAAAATCAAATAGCAAATATCAAAGATGTTAGGCTCTTTTATGAATAGCTGAGAGGTTGTAAGATCATAAGGTGGTTTTGTGTAATATTCAGAAAAATGGCAGTTACCTTCATCGGTTTTCTGTAATACAAAGTGTATTGAGTTATGTGAAGCATAATTGGAACGCCTGAAAGGTTTCAACCTTTATTTGTGCATGTTTAAAACTTTGTACACATTTGCATTAGTCTTGCACAGCTACAGACACCTCTGTATTCTAATGACTGCACGTGCAATTTAAATAATTTTAAACCTTAGTGCATGTTTAATATGAATGCAAAATGTACATATGTGTAAAACTGGCAGAGGTGGAAAATTTACCTCTCAGGGAATGATCTTAACACATTTAAGGAGTCTCGCACATTCCATATCCCGATCGCTCTAAGAACTGAAACTTAATTTTTTCATTTGTGTAAGTGTGTATATTTGAAAGGCGACTATGGCAACCTTAATTTCCCCACCTGTAGTACTAACAGTGACTTAAATAATGGCTTCTTTAGGGTTCAATTTGCACTTTGCGTCCAACTACAAATTTCCTCCTCTGAACAACTCCCAGTCTATCTTCTGGGTACCGTTTCCACTGAACCCTCTATACACATCTGAAATCATTACAAAATGGCAGTTATCTTGAATTTATTTAGCCAATTGGTTCCATGTTTGGTTTTTATTCTTTCTGCAGTTAAAATAATGTAAAAATATGAATCCAGCATCTTTGCATTCCAGGGAATGGAATGAGTAGGCTTCCGGAAGACATAGACTTTGTTACAAAGGAGCTGATAAACACTCTAGGCTGTAATCTATCTCAGCAGAGATACTCGATCTTTGTTGAATACCATTAAGACACTAATGTGGTTTCGTAAAACAGTGTGGGGAAACATTGCACTCCAGTGAACTTGTATTTCTTCTTCCATGTTCTCTTTGGAATGTCACACTACCATCAGGGGGAAGATCTGTGCATCCCTTTCAGATTCCTCAAAATCTCACCTCCTGTTTCTTCCACAAAATATTGTGAACTGAAATGGATGCATGTGTTTGACCACCAGTCGTGCATCACTGGAATTGTATCAAAACATACTTGCAGTTTGTATGGTATAGACATTTCTAGACTTCCTCACATTTTTGGAGGAAGGTGAAGATACAGACTTAAGATTCAATAAATCCTTTTCCAGATCTTCCAGAGTGATGTGACCTTGACCAGATTGTTTAACATTCTTGTGCCTTTGTCTCTGCATCTGTAGAATCAATTACCACCTATAGAGTTCTGAAACTTCATTTGTTGAGATTTATAAATCATGATCTGTATGATGGAAGTGAAAAGTTTATTCTATATTAATATTTTTACAGGGTGTATAAGACAGTTCCCAGTAATGCTGATGTTTTTGTTATTGATTTGTGCAAAAGTAATTTAAGTACTTTTTTGTTCAAATGGATGTTCTTTGTTCTCTTCTGTGTAGACTGAATGCATGGGGGAGTTCCTTTTGGGGAAAAAGATTTAAGTAACGTGTAACAAGAATATACTTATAAACAAGGGTATTTTTGTACTCCAGTTTGATTTGTCAAAACTTTTTCAAATGACAAAGGATTTTCTTAGCCATTTTTCCTCTTCCCATGTATTAGTTTGGAGAAAATACATAACTGGATGTAACTATGAAAACCTAACTCTCCAAGCACAGACAGAGTGTGTACAGTACCTATAGGAGCACCTGTCCCTGTAACTATATAGTAGTAGTAATAATAGTAATACAGAAAACTTCTTGGCTATAGGAAGATAATACACTACTTTCTCCCCTGGAGTGAGGTAATATTGCGGTAATAAAGGTATTAATCCTTCCACAAAATTGGAACTTGTTCTGGATTCTCCCTGGAAAATAAATCTCTATTTCTGTGGTCATGTTTATGTGACCTTTAACATAACAATATGTTTCTCTTGGTTTTAATCCACAGACCATTCCTGTAGTGGTAAGTCCTTCTGCTGGGACAGTAGCAATGAGAACTGGAGTTCAGTATGTTCAGACCACAATGCCAGTCCAAGTACGAAGAGTCTAACTGCTCACAAGAAGCCCATACAATTGTTGGAATAAATAAATCTAATAGAAATGTGAAAAATAAATACAGTTCTTTGGATTAACCTCAAAGGTTCAGACTTTAGCTTTGTATATGTGTACAAAGCATTAACTACACTACATTAATGTAAAGCATTAGCGCTGGCTTAGAAAAGCTGAGGACAGGTAAGATCGATATTAAATCTATGCTTCTTTTGTAAATAATGTACAATTTGTGGATGTCATTAAAGTTAGAGTACCATCTCCTTTTTATATTTGTATTGACTTTAACTTATAAAGAGCGTTTGAAGTTGGAAAAGGAAGGTTTAAAACAGCCTTATGGCAAGCTAACACTGAAAACTGGTCTTGGGGAAATTGCAGTTATGCATCAAATAATATAATCATGAGAATCTGAACAACTCGATTTGCATTTGGATTGAAAAAAATTTCTGTACTGTGAACATCTTGTAGAATTTCTTTCAGCAACCAAGTGATGAAGGGTATCTTTTTCCAGTTAAGTGTATTAGGCAAATTATGGCATTTCCAATCTGTGGACTTGAAAGACATTAAGATTTACATTGTTTTTTACAATGACCAGACTCTTAAAAATTTCTATTGTTTCCAGGTTAAATTAAGTTAAAATTTCATTCAGTCTAATATCAGAAAAGTTGGAAAGCGTAATACCAGCTGGTTGTAGCATGACTTCTGATCATTGATATCAAAGACTGAGAAAAGTAAAGTTTGTTCCCATGCTTCACAGTTCAGTTTTCTTTTTTTTTTTTTTTTTTTTTTTTTTTTTTTTTTTTTTTTCCTCCCCTAAATCCTCCAAAAGGACTTTGAACAAGAACTAGGTGTGGAGAAAAACATGGATCGGGAAACATGGGCAAAGGACTTTTGATGCTGGGCCAGAGCATGTATTATTTATATGATGGAATTTATGTTTTTATGTAAGCATGAAACAGTACAGTATGAGAGAAAGTAACCCATGAAAATGCTGTCTGTTACACTTATACTGTAGTACCATTTTGTATGTTGTGTAAAACGAAAGCATTGAACAAAGCAAAGGTGATGTATGTATATGAGAAAATTAATTGTATGATATCATTCCAGTACATTCTGTTGTACATTTTAGTCATGTTGATTTCTCCCATTGTTTATAAAAAATGCGGTTTGTACAGTCTCCAGCTAGTACCCATATTAGAGGGAAAGAAGTATTAGAAGAAAAAAAGCGAGAACAGAATATTCGTGAATTGCAGTTGTGTCAAAAATAGCCTAGCTGGCCTTATTTGTGAAGCATAATTGCTTTTAGCATATGGAAGTATTTTTTCACATTTTCTTTGTATAAAATTTGTATTAAACTTAAATATCTTTTTTGACAATTGTGTTTCTTTGTGACTAAGACAGGTGACACACACGATATGGTTTGGGTTTCTCCAATTTTTCAAGAAACTTCACAATTTTTTATTAAACTGTTTTAGAAAAATGTTCTGTGTTCCTGGATTTCCAGTTTCGTTTCAGTCTGGATGAATGTTCATTTCTGCACAGTCTCCAGATCATAGATAATTTCACCTGTGTTGGGATCTCCTATCTCAGAAGTGTGAGACCTTTGAATCCAAGCTCTCAAATTTGCAAAAAAACAAAGCGTTGGCAGCCTGTGAATAAGAAGCCATTTATGTGTCAAACTCAGCATCCATTTTCTCTCGGTGTTAACAGCAGCAAAGGTCCATGGCTGGTTGTGTAACATGTATTCATCGGTTGGATTGGGGTTGGAGCGATATGTGTAGTCTTGCTAGGTGTATTTGTGGGTTAGAACTGGGAACTTTCATGATGAGTACCGTTGTAGCCCTCTAAGAGGGCATGAATTGGGCAAGACTGCTGTGTGCCTCTTAATTAGCTGTTAGAAGAAACAGGGAACTAATGAAATAGCTCACTATAAAATCTTCCTATGAATATTGTCTTGAAGTTCCTACTCCTGTAGTTATCTTGTTACGTGCATTTGTAAAACAACTAAAGGTAATGTTCCCAGTGCTACTGTTTAAAGAAAAGCACCAGTATTGAAAGCTTGAAATGATGTTTTGGCCTTCCCCATGTAATCTGAATGCTGGGATCACTGAAACAAGCTCTTGTGTTAGGAGGGAAATGGGAAGAGAAGAGCAAGTCAAAAACTGTTGTAGGGAACCACACTGCTTGCTGAAGCCTGTTTCAACCTGTGAATTTTTCTTTTAATGGGCATGTTTTCTTTCCTCATGTGAAATAATAGGCGACCAAGTCCTAGTAAAGATTTATATAAATACAAAATAACTCCCAACGAGAGTTATCAGGTATCATTGAGAGTTATCAGGTGACTGTATTTTTTTTCCACATTCTAGCTAGTTATGGTATGAAGTTCATTGCTTTTCTGAAGATTGTTTTGTGTTAACTAAAGTGAAGGAAGAACACCTCTCTGGCTTGGACATTACAGGAGGAGATGACACTGATGTGGTATGAATTTAAAAGATAGGCTGCAACTTTATTTAATATATGATCGAATAACCTGCTAGGCATGAGTGGCATCCATTGCTTGTGTCTAGAGTATCCCTCTACCCTATGTAGTGTATCCCTTGTTTATTTCGGAACCAAGTTTGGGAAAAATTACTGTGCTGGGTCTGGAATTTTTACCTCTTTCTGTTGGTGAAGGTTCCTCAGTTGTGGTACCCAACTCAGTCCTGGATTGAAGTCAGTCCAGATGGCTGTCCTTTCATCATCTAGCTGCAAAAGGTGATGCCAATGATTAGGTGATGAGTTGATGGGTAAATAATGAAGAGCTTTAGCCATATACCATCCTGGGAAAACTTGTTTTCACCCTTCAGCTACAGGCAGTGGGTGTCCCTCAGGTTTGCCATTCTCTGTTACAACCTGCTGAAAGACTTGTGGGCATGCTACTGCTGATTCCTCTGCTTTTGGGGACAAAATCGACTTGTCTTGGAGTTTGAGCTTAGAAATCTCTATATTATTATTATCTGCCATTATTACTTGGGCTTTCCATTTTGGAAGAAGGAGGGGAGGAGATTGACACTGGTGTTCTTTATCTGGGCTGATCAACTCCAAGGCTTTACCGAGCAGTGGCAGTATTTCCCTGGTTTTAGTGTTATTTCAGGAAGGTAGGAGCCAATACGACATTCAAGGTGCTCTGAGGTTTTGTTTTAGCCCCCTCCCCAAATGGCACAATCTGGATGGAGTTTACCACAGCAAGGGCTCCCCACAGAAGCCTGATATCGGTGCAGGGATGTGAGGCACAGAGACATGCTGGAGCTGCTCCAAGTGGCTGTAAGCGCTGTGGTGGCCGCGGCCTGGCTGGCAGTGCTGGCTGCAGGGAGGCCGTTACGTTCAAACGGGAACTTCGCGGGCTGGCCGTGAACGCAGGGGTTGAGAATTTGCCATCGGTTGTGCTGTCACCTTGTGCCGGCACTCGCTGAATTAGAATTTCAGTGCTTAAATCACAGAAATGTAAGTGGTTAAATTGCAGAGGAACAAGGAGCAGCCAAGAGGAATGTAGTCAGTCCGGAGCCATAGGCTTCCAAGTTTTTCATCCTCCTCAGCACAGATGGGTCAGTTCAGAGCGGGGGCTATGGGTTCTGCCGCCCGTCTCAGCCGAGGCTGACCTACAGCCCACTGCGTCTCCCCGTTTTGTCCTTTACACAGAGTAGAGCCATGGGACCAAAGTCCCTCTGAAGAGTTACCCTTTCTTTGTGAATCGTAGAGGCTAGTTTTTAAAACGATTGTACAGCTTCACCTTAATTGAAGGCATTTTAGAAACAATAAGATTTCTCTTTTTCTTCCCTTTTAAAAAATCATTTTCATACAAAATACCATTCTTAAGAGTACTTGCTCAGCGTTGGCTGTGCTATGCTTGCCTTATCTGCCCAGTTGCGTACAGGAACCACTGGAAAACGGCCACATGCCGAGGTTTTGGTTTTGTTTAGCCAAGGCCGCCCAGGCGGGCCGGCTGTGACCCCAGCACCTCCCGGACCCAGATGCCGGCGGGAAGGGGTTGGCTCCCCGGCTTGTGGGGCTCACGCTGGGGCGCAGCTGCCCCCGGGTGGACACACGGGAGAACTGCAGGGAACGGGTCAAATACGCAATTGCCACCTCCTCTTCCACCCCCAACGATGACGTGTATTTTTTGCAACTATTTTCTTTGCAGTTTTCTGGTTATTTGACAAAATGCTACAGTCTGTTGTTGCATCTGGATTGTTTCCCCGGCTTGTGGGGCTCACGCTGGGGCGCAGCTGCCCCCGGGTGGACACACGGGAGAACTGCAGGGAACGGGTCAAATACGCAATTGCCACCTCCTCTTCCACCCCCAACGATGACGTGTATTTTTTGCAACTATTTTCTTTGCAGTTTTCTGGTTATTTGACAAAATGCTACAGTCTGTTGTTGCATCTGGATTGTTCAAAGCTGGGCAAGGGCAAAGTGTGATTTTTGTCAAAGCTGTTTTCAGAAATGGTTCAGATCCAGGTTCTGGTTTAACAGAACAACTACAAGTTTAAGACAAGAGACCTAGGAAGAAATTCTGTTTCGGTGTGTGTCATCTCAATGACTTTTTTGGTTGTGAAGAGCTAGATTTACTTTGTGTTGCACTGCACAACTTACCCACCCAGAGTGGCAGATGGCAACAGATGGGTGGAGAGACTCAAAGGATAAGGTTAATGCGGGGAAAAAAAGTATTTTGTTTCAGTCCTTCACCTAGAGAGGATTTAGGGAAGAGCAGGTGCTTGGTGGGAGCAGTCCCTGCAGAACTCAGAGTCAGGCTTTGGCAAAACGAACGTGTTACGGGGGTGCAGTGTGGCAAGTCAGGCTGTATAGGCTCAAACACCGTATGTATGAATACCGCTCATCAGGTAAGGCACACTGAGCCAGGAACCGTACCTGAGCTTTAAGCCAGGCCAAAGCATAGGCAGAACTGAAATTTGACATGCTGAGCCAAAGGGGGTCTTAGGAAAAGGAGCAACAATAGCAACT